TAAATAAAATTAATTAATGTTTTATCATATTAATTTCTTTTATTGTATAATATATTTTTAAAATATAAATAAATATTAAAATTTGAATAATATATTTGTAAATATTTAAATTATATGAAATTATATATATATAATCATAAAAATAATATAATATAATTCAATAGTTGAATTAGTCAATTATATTATATGAAAAGTTATTGAGTGATTATCATATAATTAATTTTTTTATTTGAGTTATTATCATATTATTTTTTTAAAAATATTGTTGCTAAATTAATCTTTATGAAGTATTAATATTATAAAAAAATAATTTTTGAGAGACTAAACGGTGACAAATTTATTTTTTAAACAAATTATTTAATTTGACAACAAGATATTTAAAAAGCTAATATGAAACAACTAAAAGTAATTTTTTTATTTTGTGGATTTGGTTTCAAATTTTAGTTTTTATTTTTATACTTTAATGTCAAATTTTAAGTCTAAAAATATAAACTATCTAATACATATTTAAATTTATTTATTAAAGATGAAGTGACTAGTAGAGAAATGACTATGACTGTGGTAGATGATCAGACAAATAATAAAGTTTGATGACCAATAGTAATAATAATGATGATAGTGGTGGTAATAAAATGATAACCATAGTGCAATTGTTATGAATGATAATCATGATTGTAGTGATGATCATAATATTGGTGGCAAAGTCGATGGTAATAATTATTATAGTTATAGTAGTAAACTATCATTGATTGTGTGGTAAGGTCAAATTAATTGAGGAAGAAATAATAAAGGTGGTGTGACCAATTATGGTAATTATGATAGTGACAACAACAATGACAATAATAATCAATTGTGATAGTTATGATAATTACAATGAATAATAATGGTAAAGGTGATGATAATATAATGATGTTAGTAGTAAATGATCATTGTACAATGACATTGGTGATGTCAACGAGTAATAAAGGTGATGTTAGGTTAATGATGAGACAATATCAATAATATTATTAAGAGTTTTATTAACCTCAACTCTTAGGGTTGAAGATAAGCAACTAATAATAGTAAAATTTTATTAAAAGGTGAAATATTTATTGTATTTTTATAGCTTCAATACAATAACTGTATACTTTTTTCATAAAAAATTTATATTTGTGGATGCTTAAACTCAACCCTAAAAGTTAAAGTTAACAAAATCCTATTATCAATAATAATAATAGTAATGATAGTTACAATCAACTTTAGTAATGATTGTGGAGGACAATAGTAGCAATGACAGCAGTGGTCCCAATAAAAGGAACCACACTAGAAAGTGATAACAATAATGATTATGGTAATAACAATAATAATAGAAACAATTAATGATGATCGTGATTGTAGTAGTGAGAATGGTAAAGATAATACTAATGGTGATAACAATTATAAGATAATAATTAATGATAACAATAATAATATGAAGATAACAAATATGTTTTTTAAAAGTGAGAAAGAGATTAAATAAGTTATTTATTCAGATAAAAATATAAATATAAAAAATTTAAGATAAATTGACTTTAAAATTGAATTAAATATTAATTTAACTCTATTTTAGTCAAACACATTTATTTTGAATTTTGTATTTAAAAAAATTAAAATCTTGCAATAATTTCAAACAAACCTATAACAATTTTTAAATCTTTTAAAAAATAATTTGGTAACCCTAATTTTTAAAAACACTGATACAATAATACTCACTTGATGATGAAATTAATAAATTACACTCTTCTAAATAAATAAAAAAAACTTGTATTAAGCATATGCTTTAAATTCAAAATTAACTTAAAAATTTTATTGAACACAGATTCTGTGGGAAAATAACATTTTGAAAATCATATTTACCCATTGATTATTAATCTATTTCTCTATTATGAACTTGAATTCTCATCTTTGAATAAAATTATTTTATTTTTTAAAAGTTATGTGACAAAAAAATGTGAAATTTTGTTTTTAGTTTGTAATGTGAAAAAGGGTATTTAATGTGAAAATTATAAAATAAAAAATGAGTTATTTAAAACTAACGTTATAATCTCAAACATGAAGAATTTATGATATTTATCAACTATTTACTGAATGTCTGTACCATTCGTTACCGTTTTTTCTTGAAAATAAAATAATGATTATTTATGAATAAATATATAGAAGTTGAGTCAAATTTAAGATATTTATATTATTTAATAATTATTTTTGTAAAAATATTAGCTTTACTAATTCAATCTTTTATTTGAAAGTAGTAGAATAAGTTTATAATTTTTATATAAAAATAAAACTAATCAATACTTTATTTTATTATTTTATTTTTATACAAAATATTTTATTAAAATATAAATAAATATGAATTATTGAATGAAACATTAAAAAATTATGTAAACTTGATATGTATAATAAAAACAATATTATATTATCTAAGCATTGAATTTTTAAATTTCACATTTTATAAAAAAATTATTAAAATCTAATGATAAGACACACAATGTGTATATAAGTATATAGGTGTGGTTTTAAAAATATTATTAATGCCACAAAAAATTATTAAATGGTATAAATATTTTTAACATTATATATTCACACACACAAATAACAGAAGAAAATTGAAAAACAAATTTTGTCTTAAAATTAATTTACTGATTGTCAAATTAATTTTAAGAAGTCCAAATACTATACAGAGTCATTATAATAAATAGAAGTATTCAAATAAGCATTTATTTCAGGCTCATTTGGCGGTTATATATAGATTTTCAGAGTCTGTTCAATTAGCAATTAATCACACTTTGGGTCAAAGAAATCATGTTGCTTTGAGAGTTAGTTGTTTTTTTTTTTTTTACTTTTTTAACTCTTCCATAGCTACACAGTGAATGAGCAAAATTGATTATCAAACAAAACAAACAATATTTAGTTTTTTTTTTTGTGAGTAAAATTAATTTTAAATGTAAGTAGACATGTAAAATTCTATAAAACACACACAATTCAATTATGTTTTGCACCCTAAAAAAATGTAATTTTAGTTTTAATTTTTTTTAAAAATTGTTAAAATATAGTCCTAATAATTTGGACTCATTAAAAATTAATATATGCTGTCAACTGAAAAAACGTAAGTAGAATTAAAAGCTATTCAACTTGATTTTGTTGCTTAAACGTTGGTATGAACCTTCAAAAATTTTAAAACAAAGCAGGCTCAAGTTGCTTTTTTGCACTTTAATAAGTTTAATGTCTCCTAATTTTCCTATCAAGGCCTGACAATATGTCTTTTCCTATATTCATGCATATATGAGTAGCCACTTCTACAATGGCATATATAGTTTTGATTTATTTATTAAAACTTGTGATAATGAATGGAATTTTTATTGTGAGTACATACAAATTGGAGGCAGAGTTTGCATTAAATATGAAGGTGTTAGGGAAGTCTTCTGTGGAATAAGTTACAAGGAAGGGGAATAGACCCAAAAAAGATAAGATAAAACAAATAAGTAGCTACTAAGGATATAGGATAGTCTTTTAAAAAGGCTTCCCCTTTTCGTTTTTTTCTACTTTAGTGATTAGGAAACATATTTAATACTAATTTATAGGCAATGGTCGGTTGGGCACATAAAATTGCATGAGAATCCATATCCTCTTTGGTGATATATATTCTTTCTTTTGACATGTAAGAGTCAATAGATTTCCAATGTGCAACAACTGGCCCATATAACTAATGGCTAGGGTTTATCATGTGCCTAACATCTAATTGGAGCCACTAAGGATAATTACCATATTAGATGAATAATGTTGGTGTATTAATTTCCTCTCAATTTCTTTCTGGCCCCTACTTTTTGGTCTTTTCTGCTGCTTATGGCTCTACCTTTTTATGGGGCATATGCCATTGCCTTCAAAGATTGCAGTGCTTTTGTTAATTTCTTTTTCCACACGCTCCATCTTCTTTTAATAAGAAGACTCACACCTAGCATTGATTGGTGTGAAAAGAAAACGAAATCGATTGTGATTGGATTTCCATAGGTTAATGCTAAAGCTAGAAGTAAGCTTGAGCAAAAGTATCCAAAAAAATCAAACACACACTTAAATTCTTGCATGAATTGGGATTGTGGTAGGTCCTTGGGACTGTCTATTATTACAATGAAGCATGTATATTGTGCAAATAAAAGAATAGAAGATGCAGCCATATTGGTTCCTTTCTTTACTCAACATTAACTTCCTTACGGATCATTAAATAAGACAGATCATGACAGCCATTAGTCATGTTCATTCTTCATCATCTTCTCTCTCTCCCTGTCCATGAAATGCGTGTCCAATATTTCAATTTAAATTATAAGCCAATGATTTTTAATGCCTGAGATTTTTTTAGTGTAGAAAAGGCTTTTTATCTGTTTTTAGAATGCCATGTATATTGTTATACTAAATACCTATAAATAATAAATAGAAGTTAGGTTAGGTTTAGCTGAAGAAATTAGTCTCTTACAAAGTGATAAACTAAATTTAATTTTTTATTGAAATATATATTTTTTAATGTGTGACCATATCTTAATCGTGATTTTACTCTTAATTTAATAGTATTTAATAAATTTTAACTAATAATAGAAAATTTGGTAAAAGATATATTTTTAATACTCAGTTCTGTCCCTCGTAGAAGTTATATGTGAAAAAAAAAACTAAAAACATAAATACAAAATTATATTTTAGAATTTGTAATTTTATATTTCTTCCTATTGGATACAAGTAACTTGTCATAATTATATTTGTTAATTTACACAGAATAGAAGGATGCATAGTTTTGACCTTATATATTGGATCAAGCTCCCAGAAGGAGAATCATTTTCTTGAATACTACATACACACAACAGACAAAACGTTTCCTACTCCTTCCATAAATACACTCATCAACCTTTCATTTCTTTCTGTGCTTTCGAATTAACCTGAGATCCAGCAGCTAAAAGTCCAAACCTCGTTGTTTTTCTCAGATCTTCGCCGCCGGCATGCTCAGAACAATAGCCAGGTTCGTCATGTTCCTTCTTTTCTAATATCAAACCTCAGTCACTTGTTTGCTCAATGTCTTTTTTTCTTGTTAACTGTTGCTATAAAAGTTGAATTTTTTGGAACTGCTGGGTTTCTAAATTTTGTCTCTCTTGATTGAGTTCACTTAATCTCTTGCAGGGAGTTGAAGCTCACCACTCTTACCAATGATTTGCTTCAAAAACGCAGCAGATTCTACGCCACTACGGTTGGTGGAAGAAGGTGAGTCTTGTAAAAGCTCTTTATTATATCAGCTCATGTTTTCATTTAATGGGTGTTATTATGACAAAACTTATGTGATGTTCTGTTTGTTAATTAAATTTTATATTTTATTTTAATAAAATATTTATATTAATGTTATTATAAGTTATTGAAATATACTCAAATTTTAATTAATAAATAATACCAACAGTTTTTCAAATATTGTACCTAAATTTTCTCCTTATGTTAATTATGGTACTAATATTTTTATATCACGTTTTTTATAAATGAGTTTTGTTATATATATATATATTCTTAATAAGTTTTTATTATATATGAAAAAAGTTTTAAATTAAAAAAAATACATGTATGTATTTCAAAAATATAAAATGTATTTAGTATATTTTTTATTTAATAATTAAGAAAATTACAAATACAAAAAGTAAAAAAACTTCTAAAATTACTATCTTACAAATTATTTTCCTTTTTTTTTTTCCTATTTTTCTCACTTATAAAAGATGCCGTGAAAATTAATTATATAAACAACATTTTTCATTACCTAACTTATTCGTAATGAGTTAAAATATAATTTGATACGGGAAAGTAACATATTTATACAGATTGGTTTTCAAAAGCGTCAATGTGCTGATAAATTTATCTTAGCAGGTTGTAAACTTGTAAATGCTATTTTGTTTTTTACTTATGATGAAATCCTTGCCATTTCTAACTCTCTTAGATAACTATTTAAATTCTAGATGTTAATAATTAACACAATGTTTATTAGGTAGGAAAAAGAAACATGAAAAGGATACTGCAAATCTAAGGCGATTATTTAATTAAATTTTATTAAGTTGCATTGACAAATAAAGAGCAACACAGTGTTTAAGTGACTTGAAGTTAATAGAGACGTAGAAAATTAGAAATAAATTTAAACAATGACAAGGGAATTCCGTGAAGCACATGGAACAAATCGTGCAAGCTGCCTCCAATTTGCATGTTCTCATGCTGTAGATCTACCAAACAGAAACAGCTAACGTGATTTAATTGACCAATTTTATTTTTAAACGTGTCAGTTACTTAACTCATTCTTGTAGCTTTCCCTACTAATAATGGAGTCCAACAGTACAAAAATTTCAAAACTATTTCACCCCCTTTATATACACAAAGTCGTTTTCTGCTTGATAACCACAATTTGTGGTCGTTTCTTAGATCTTTGCTAAAAACAACATGTTCTCATAAAAATTCATGATTAAAATTATTTTTTTACTTATATTCTAATTGCATTTAATGAGCTTAAGAATTAATTTTAACAAATAATTTTAATAAAATTTATTTAAACCATTAAATGTAATTAAAGTATGTATCAAATAAATGTCAACTATGTGTTAGATTTTGTATTAAAACATGTGCATGGTATACAAAAATTGATTTTTAGTATAAAGTAAACAGGACCTTTATTAATTACTATAAACCATAGGTTTAAATCTCCAAACCATTAGGTACAGTGTGGGAGGGGGGGGGGGGAGTCAACTTTCTTATTCTTAGTATTTGAAAGCAAAAGAAACCCATCCAATCCAAGGGTGTTTGTAAGTCCTTGAAGGAATATGCAATCTTAACTTGTTGTTGGAAGGGAATTTGGTCCACGACATCATCCTCCAACTTTGGGAAAAAGAAATGATGCTTTCTGATTTAGACGTTGGGATAAAGCTGATAGCATTATTTAGATACGATTGTTCCATCATTCCAATCTTCTTCACATTTCAAACCAAGCCATTTCTTTTCCTCACCCATGATCATTGATGTTCATCCATTATGGTTCCAAAAAAGCAGGCTAGAGGGAAAAGTGGCACTCATAACAGGATCAGCAAGTGGGCTTGGCAAGGCCACAGCCCATGAGTTTGTGCAACATGGGGCCCAAGTAATCATTGCAGACAACGACACTCAACTTGGGCCACAAGCTGCAAAGGACTTGGGCCCTTCAGCCCGCTATGTGGAGTGTGATGTAACCATTGAGGCCCAAATAGCAGATGCTGTAAATTTTGCCATGACCCACTATGGCAAACTTGACATCATGTACAACAATGCTGGCATAACAGGCCCAACACTCCCACCAAGCATAGCAGAACTGGACCTTGATGAATTTGATAGGGTCATGAGGATCAATGTCCGAGGAATGATAGCAGGCATAAAGCATGCAGCCCGGGTCATGATACCAGTGGGCTCTGGGTCCATTCTATGCACATCTAGCATAAGTGGGATCATGGGTGGGCTTGGGCCTCATCCATATACAATATCAAAGTTTACAATACCTGGGGTGGTGAAATCTGTGGCCAGTGAGCTATGCAAAGCTGGGATCAGAGTAAATTGCATATCCCCAGCCCCAATTCCTACACCTATGGCTTTGACTCAAATTGGGAAGCTTTATCCTGGTTTAACACAAGAACAGGTTGTGGGCCTTGTGAATGGGCTTGGTGAGCTCAAAGGTGCTAAGTGTGAGGACATTGATGTGGCCCGGGCTGCATTGTACTTGGCATCAGATGAAGCAAAGTTTATCTCAGGCCTAAACCTCATTGTGGATGGAGGGTTTACCTCCTTTAAAAATTTGAAGTTCCCTTCTCCAGATCAAACTGCCTAACCTTTATTGTTCATTTCTGTAATGTACTATGGTTGATTTTTGAATATGTTCATCATTTTTTCTTGCTTTCAAACTTAAGAATAGTTATGTTTATGTTTTTCCGTACAATGAAGATAATGAGGTTCTCCGTCTGCACGGTGATTTGACTACATTAGAGCAAGCATGCATTTTAGTCTAATGTATCTATATATATTCTTTATAATTAATCAATTTTCAAAAACATTAAAATATATTTTATAAATTAATCATTTTTAAATTATGGTGACTTTTAAAAAATCTGACTAGCTGCAACGAAGATAATGAGGTTATCTCCAACAACACGGTGATCTGAGTAAAAGTGTAGCTTATAGTCTAATAATCTATACGAAAAATATTAGTAATATTTTTAATAGATATTTTTAATACTTTTTTTATTAGTCAATTTTTATAAGTTAAAATATATGTTTTTTAAATTAATTACTTTTTTATTTTTAAAAAATTAGTCAATCACAAAAATATATTAAAAAGGATTCAAAATATGTGTTACTACCATTTTTAATGTATAATTCTAAATTCTATGACTTCTTTAAATACTTTTAATTATTATAAAATAATAGAAAATATAATAAAGATCTTCTTCCATATGTATTAGAGAATTATTTTTTTTTAAAGATAGAACATAGATGTATTGTTATCTTTAGCAATTGTTTCTGTCAAATGATCTTTATATAAAAATGTCAAACAATACCTTACAAATCATAAGATACTAAAATGAACATTACAATAATTCACAATGAATAAAATTAAATTTTCTCATCAAACATAAAGTAAATAGTTAAACTTATCTAAAATTATTCTCAACAAAACTAATAAATAAATATAATAATTAAATTATATTGTATAATTAATTATATAGTCTAACTAATTAATTAATACTAATTACAAAATAATTAACCTTTGTATTATTAATAAAATAATTTATTTAAAAAATAAAAAATTTACTAAAATTATTTTCTTTCTTAGTTATGTGTATTTTTAATAAATAAAATTAAATAAAAATAATGTATAAATTTTTTTCTCTCTGTAATTACTTTACTTTTTATCCACCTTTTGATAATTTAGTTATAGTTATAGTTATAAAAAATTTAATAATTTTTTTATTACTTTATATAAACTTTCAAATCTTTTATGAATATTCATGTTTATGTTTATAAAAGTATCTTTATTACTTTTTTTGGGTAAAGGAAAAGAAATCACAAAAATAAACTAATGTAAATTAAAGAGACGTTGGAGGATCATCAAGAGAGTGAAAAAAGTCATGAGACAAGAATATAAAATGAGCTAATTTGTCAACTAACGAGTTAACTTTGCAAACAGTATAACCTATGAGTACATGAGAGAAATTATACATTAAATAATGAATATCTTGTAGAATAGAATACAAAGACTAATTGTAATTTCTTTAAAATAATGTTTATCTTTTCTGAACAATCAAATTACAAAATCTTCTTAGGATAACTTTTCAATCTTTCCAAGTACAAACCTTAAAAATTACTTTCAATTTATGAACAAAGAGAAGACTAATTACTATATATATATAAAAAAAAAGTAAAATACATTAATTATTTACTACCACAATCTCATATGACACCACCACAATCCATATGATTCATCTTAAAATTATTGCCTTCATTAATTTTACAGTACTTGAAAAATTGTGGATTTCATGACATTTTTCAAAAAGAAGTAAATTTAAAGGTAATTTATTTGATATTAGAACCGGTAAAAATGGATCAGCCAGATGGATTGGACTAAAAAAACTTGTTAAATAGGTGAGCTTGGGTTCTAAAAAGTAAGGTATGAAATTACCTTAGGCCATTTTGACCCAATCCATATAAGCCTACTACCCAGTAGGGCTTTAACTGGGCTAGCTAATGCGGGCTTGGGTAGCCCACATATATATAAAATGGTCTAATATAAAAAAATTGGACAAAAAAAACAAGTGACCTATTAAGTTGATACAAAAATAGTCTAAAATAGCTTATTAAAAACACTTAAAATAGCAAATAATAATAATAATAATAATAATAATGGCATGTTATAAAAAAAAAACAACAAAAAATATTCAAGCTGTCAGGCCATATCCATTTTTACCTTGGGCTAAATAAGCTCGACTCATTTGCGCTTGTTATCTATATCGAGCCAGACTAGACTGTCCATTTTAACATCTCTGTTTGAGATTATTAGCAAAGAATAATTCTTCTTAAACTAACTAATAAAATTCAAAATATGATACATACTTCATTTCTCCTCATCAAAGAGCATATTATTCCTCCAACGTCAAAACTACGAAAAAATGGATAAATAAAAAAATACAATCCCTATGTTGAGCTAAGTTAGCAAAATAAGTAGTCATAAAGTCATGAAAATTATAATAGAAACCTTAAAAATATATTATTAGATCAATTTTAACATAAACATGAGCATAAAATAATATATTTAGTTTTTTTACTTATACAAAGTTTTGTATTATTTTGTAAACACCTATATTTATATTTATAAAATTTACCTTATTGTCTTATAAAACTTTTAGATTTCTTATAAATATACTTGTTTATATAAAATTCATAATAATTAATTTATCATTTGTAATATATTCTGACAAAAATTTCATCAATTACACATATTTTGTTTCATGTAGAAGATACGTTCTCCTATTAGAAATTGTAAAGTCCAACTGTCATTCCATTTTTCTTAAAATTTGCACTTTTTTAAAATTACTTCTCTCTATCTTTTCTTTAATTAATTATAAAAAATTATTTTTAACATTAAACAATTTGAATGGTTTTGAGAATGTGGATGTTGTAGGGTATTCGGGAGAAATTTGGTGTTGTTGGAATATTAATAGGGTTTAAGTTTCTGTATTAGCCAAATTTAAATATTGTATTCACCTTAAGGTTTTAATTGGATCATGTCTTCTATCTATGCTAGTGCTCGTGAAGGAACCAGAACTGAGTATTAGAAGGTAATTCATTTTAGTTCTTTCATTGATTCTCCTTGGTGGTTAGTCAAGGATTTCAATTTTATTCTCTATGATTTTGAGAGAGTAGGAGGTAGGCATGCTAATCTCTCCAGTGTTAGAAAACTATTTGTTTGTCTAAATACTTGTGGTTTACAGGATTTAGGTTTTAGGCTTTAAAAGAAAAATTAGATAAAGTTGTGATCAATGACTCTTGGAAATCACACTTCCATAATAGTTCTACAATGCATATTCCAATTCTAAAATTTGATCATAATGCTTTTGGTAAAAAATAAGAGACAACAAACATGTTCACCAAATTAATAAGTCCTTTAGATTTTTAGCTCCTTGAATTTCTCACAGCGACTTTCACACCCAAGTTAGGAACTCTTGGCTTACCTCCAACCCTTGGATAGAAAATATATTTAGATTTCAAACTAATATCTTTAAATACAATAAGTCTATGTTTGGCAACATTTTCAATAAGAAAAACTAAATTTTCAATAAAATTGGGGGAATTTCTAGAAAATTTGTTGTGGGAGAAGATCCTTTCTTTCAAAACTTAGGAAATCTCTTTGGAAGGAATAACAACTTATTCTGGACCATGAGGAAGCCATTTGATATAATCATTATAAGGATAATTAGATAAAATTTGGGGGGTAAAAATACTAGATATTTTTACAAAGGTGCAAAGTTTCACATATAAGGAAAAATAATTAAAGCCCTTAATAATTATAAGAATAACCGAGAATATGACTCTGTGAAACTTAAATTCATTGTTCTAAAGTACTTTAAGAATATCTATTTTGATCCCTCACCACAGGTTGTTGACCTGCATAATCTTAAAACACCTTTCCTCCTCTGCAAAGTTATAATCATATTAGACTTAAATTTAGGGTGACCATGGAAGAAGTTAAGGCCTCCTTATTTAGTATTGGTAACTTTAAATCCCCTTGTCCTAATTGCCTTCATACTTTTTAAAAAAAAAATCAATGGGAGTTTCTAGGTCCTTTTATCTATGATTTTGTGTTAGATATATTTTTTAATCCTAAGAAAATTATCGTTATAAATAAAATTGAAATTACTTTAATCCCTAAGTCTAGTAACCCTGAATGCATTAAGAACTTTAGACTCATTTCCCTATATAATGTTAGCTATAAAATTGTCACTAAAATTCTAGCCAACATAATTAGGAGCTATCCTTTCAGCCTAATCTCTGAGCACTAATCTAACTTCATTCTTGAGAGGCAAGGGATAGATAACTCTTTAATCATTCATGAACTTGTGTATTCTTTTAGTAAATTTAAAGGTAGAAGTGGATACATGATCCTCAAAATTGATTTGGAAAAAGCTTATGATCGACTATGATGGAAATTTATTATGGATACTACTAAAAAAAATTGATTTTGAAACTAATATAGTTAACCTTATTAAACATTGCATTTCATCTAACTTTATGTTTTTAAACTAGAATAAGAGTAAAATTGAGTCCTTTTTACCCTCTAGGGGTGTCTCCTACCTCTTTGTGCTGTGCACAGAAAGGTTAGCCCACCTAATAAAAAATGGAACCATGGCTGCTAGCTAGACCCCCTTCTCTTTCAGTAGCTCAAGACCTCAGGTTTTCCATTTATTCTTTGCTGATGACAGTTTTAGTGGCTAAGGCTAACATGCATCATGCTAATATCATTAAAATTATTTTAAATGATTTTTGTTCTGCCTCTGGTTTGAAAATAAATTATGATAAATCTTCCATATTTTTCTCTAGAAATTCTAATTTTTCTCTTATTTAACAAACTAGTAATAGCTTGGGCATTAGCTCAACCAAGGATTTTGGTAGATATCTTGGCATCCCTATTAGCCATCATAAACTCTCTAGGCAGGTTTTTGCCTTTATCATAGACAAGGTCCAGAAAAAATTGTTCCTTTGAAAAATAAATTTGTTATCCATGACTGGTAGGGTTGTTTTAGCTTAATCTTGCATTTTAAGCATTCCTTCTTATCT